TGTGGCAGAACTATATATTTTTCAAATATCGGCCAAAATAATCCAGATTTTGAAATCATTGATTTCTTACAGTTGAAACATTAAAGATTCACGAGTAGTTGGATGAAGTAAAATATAGATTTTTCTGTATTTATGGTTGCGTTTGATACAATTGCAGTATTAAGACCTCATTTTGATGACATTTGGACACAAAATGTATTATGAACAGATCAGTGTAGAGTTGTATTTATTTTACAAACTGATATTTACTATATTACGGGTCTATCAATAAACGTTCTGGGTTTTTCAATTAGAACATCTGAATGTGAATATTTGTAAATATCTTATTAGTTATGTGTAAGAAAATGAGAAAAACAATAAAATGGAATCTGTCATGCAGGTTTTAAATTCAGATCAAAATGTGTAGTTAATTTCTTCCTTTTCCATTAAATATCATATTCCTGAGCAGTATAGTATCGTATCAAAGCATTACGGATGTTTTAGTCTATAATCGTCGTGTATCATGTATACAGGGTGTTTCAAATTACCCTCACCATTGGGTTCTCGGAGACTGTAAGAGATACGAAGTCGCTTAAATGGGGACAAAGTTGCGTGTTTAAGTAATCAACAAAATGCGACTTAGAAAGTTTCGAAATTCAAAGACCAATATGTATCTGACTGGTTTAAATTGCGCGCCATTTTTGATACACGCATTAATGAGTCGATTGTTGCAATGCTTCGGAAAGCTGCGACAAGATTTCGGTCGAAATGATGTGAACAGTGTCAACACCATTCGTCAGTTGGAGCGGAAATTTAAACAAACAGGTGAAGTTTAAGACTTTCCAAGGTCAGGCCGTGTTCGTACTCCGGAAAATATCGGGAGTTCGTGAAAGTGTAATGGAGCGCCGTGAGACATCTACCAGACGTCGTTCTCCAGAACTGGGTATTCGTCGCACGCATTGACATTATGTACTATTTTAAAAATGACTTGCTTTTGCGGCCATACAAAACTCAGTTAACCCAAGAACTACAGCCTAGCGATCATGAAAGTCGACGACAATAGTCACTATTGCAGCTTAATATCCAAAATAAGGATTATTTGCGACATCTGATAAATGAGCGATGAAGCCCACTTCGATATGAACGGATTTGTTAATAAGCAGAATTGTCGTATCTGGGCATTAGATAACCCTCGTTTCATCAATTAACGACCACTACATCCTCGTCGAGTCACAATTTGAAGCGGTGTTTGATATGGAGGTGTCATTGGACCTTACTTCTTTGAAGATACTGCAGGTAATTCTCTTACTGTCACTGGCGAGCGCTACCGTGATATGGTGCAAAACTTTCTGGGTCCTTAAATCCAACAATTTAACGTGCAAAACATGTCGTTCCAGCAGGACAGAGCAACTTGTCACACAGCTAAGGAAACAATTAATCTTTTGCGAACAATATTTCCGGGACGTTTAATTTCTCGATTTGGTGGCCAACTGGCCACCAAGGTCTCCGGATTTAACGGCTCCTTACTTTTTTATGGGGTTGTTTGAAAAATAGGGTTTATACCAACAAACCAAGTACTGTAGAGCAGCTGAAGAACAATATTACGAAGCGATTGAAAATATTCCTCCCGAAACCTACCAAAAAGTGATGGAAATTGTAATCAAGATTGCTCAGGTTTGTGCGGCTTCTAGAGGCAGACATTTGTCTGATATTATTTTTCATACATAATTTCTAAGTTTTAATAAAATATTATGGAAAAATGGACGTATTTCATTTCATAAATATTCATGATACAAATCAGTCAGTTACATATCGGCCACCCTGTACTTCCGGAGAGACGAAAAAAAAAGAATTTTCCCAAAATCGATTTAATTTTTTCCTCAAATAAATTGTAGTGGGACTTCAAAATAAATCGCACATTAGCATTGCCACTTTTTTCCTCTACAAGATATAATTAGAATTTCAATATGACGTTTCGTTATTTGCCCTTCAGCATCAACTTTATTTTTCCTTATGGATGCCATATTCAATCTTTGCGCAGGTGAATAGAGTTTCTAAATCAGATTTCAAGAATGTATACATCAGTGGCGGCTCGTGGCAAAATAAAACAGGTGTTCTGCAAATCCGAAATTAGCTATTTATAATATGTCAGTTCGATCCTGCACTCCTTCTTGGCAGCAAATTTGTCGATCTTCCTCCCGTTGAAATTTTCCTTGGTCGAAATAAATTCCTTTTTAGTGGACAGCATCGACAACGCTATAAAGCGATCCTGGGTCATAGTATTACGAAGCAAAGTCTTGATTCTTTTCAATGTTGAGAAATTTCGCTCAGCCTCTGATGTTGACATAGGAGTTGTAACAATAATTTCTAATAGCTTTTTTGTTTCTTTTAGTGTTTCCTCCAAACTATTTTGTATCAAAAATTTCAAAAGAGACAGAGCTCCATGTAAATCTCGGCAATCATTCCGTGCATAAATGACAGACAACTCTGTCTTTAAGCGACTTTTTTCTAATTCGAGATAAACCAAGCAGGTAGTTTCCAACTTGTCATCAGGACACTTACCACAGTATTCTCCAAAGTGTTCGGGGAAAAAAGGGATGCGGCTACCAAATGATCTTTAAATTGAAATCTGTCATTTGCAGAATTCACTATATTGTCGCATACTTCTAATGCGGCAACTCGGTGATCGTGACTGCTATTATTACGTCGTCTCCTTTTGTTGCCTTGGGGTTCAGTGCAAATACTTTTGGCTTCATTTATTATGTCATCAATTTTATTTCTCACATCGACAATACATCGACAAGATGTCGACGTGAGGCATGACATGATGAAAAAATGTCAACCAAAACACGAAAACAGAATCGTTTAACATACGGCGAATACCGCAAGCTGCCTTGCAAACGGTTTCATTAGTGAAATTTTCTTCTATTTCTTCCATGCATTCAATGAGTGATTGTCTGTTCTCAAACACTACATTTATTGTTCGAATATTAAAATTCCAACGAGTTGTTGCTCCTTGGGGAATTTTTTTCCCACAATTCTGTTCAGTACCTCTACGCGTTGAGGAGAATTATTAAAAAATCCCGGAATATCTTTCAAATCGCCAAAGAACACCCGAACTTGAGCATTTGCGGAAGCAGCTTGGGCCATAATCAGGTTTAACTGATGCGCATAGTAATGCACATAGTGAGTAAATGAATATCTTTGTTTAATTTTTGCATGTACTCCAGCATTACGTCCGCTCATTACCGCGGCTCCATCATAGCTTTGTGGAATCAGTTTGTCAGGGAAATTTCCTATTAATGGATCTACGATACTCAAAATATGTCTTGTGAGAGTATCAGCGTCACATTTTTCGGGATTCATATAATTCCAAAAACGTTCTACTGGTTCGCCGTTAAATACGTATCTGAAAATTGTTACCACTTGGGTTTTCCCCGAAATGTCCGTCGTTTCATCTGCTATTATCGCCAAATACGAGGCTCTGTTAATCTGTTTTATTATTTTTTCATGACAAACTTCAAGAATACAGTCCAGTAGATCGTTTTGTATTTCTTTCGAAGTTCCTTTAAATATTGAAGCATTTTTCATGTGTTCGCTCAAGGTTGTAGCAAGTTCAGCAGAAAAATTAATCAGCCCACGAAATATTTCCGGGTTTTGGGAGCTCTCGGTTTCGTCGTGGCCCGGTAGCGCCAATTCAAATGCTCCGCAAAATTTTATACCGAGCACCGACCGACCAATCAGATATCGTACTTCGCATTAGATCTGTACGGATCTGTATAACGTGCAGCACATGCTTATGCTTAAATGGCGCATTTGATTTTGTAGAGAGAGACAAAAGCAAGCGCGTGCGGCTTGTGTCGAAGTAGTGCACAGACCCTTTTCAAGTGGCCCATGAATAATGTTATGCTGCGGTCGCGACGAAAATGACAAGTACACAATTGGTCGATTATAATACTTTCTCAATACAAAACATACTCGACGCTGTGTCTTGCGGGGGCAGCGTCGCCGGTATTGTTTCTTTTTGTGTGATAACATGGAAAATAAATAATGATCAAATTACTACTGCTTTTTTCTGTTAAGACAAACAGTTTGGCACTTCTGCAGCTCTGCAGAACTTAAGGGCCAGCCGCCCCTGGTATACATAGCTTAGTTATTTCAGAAAAACACAATTTACTAGGTCGGCCTTGAAATTACCAGATTTTATTTGTTTCGTATACCAAACCCGACCTCAAATTGAACATAGCAACCGTCAATAAAGACGTAATTTTTAATCAATGACGTTTCCCACCAAAAGTGACCGAATAGCGACGTCATTTTGGCGCCATCATGTTCACTGGGTAGTATCTTTTAGCTTATGAATGCGAAGGTGTTTATTCTGCGCATGCAATGGAATTACATGTCAAATATTTATAAAATCCAAATTTATGTTTATAATATTCCAAGTACAAAGATTGACGATATAGATTTGTTTTCTGCTGTTTATATCATATTCTTGTTATAAAGATGTGGAAAGTGACGGTTTGTTTGGAATTACTATTTAGCCTAGTTTGAGCATATAATTTTATGTGATATCACTTCAGCTAAAACATAAATATATATTGGATTTTAAAATACACCTAAATTTTGTGTGCTCAAGTAGACATATTGCAACAACATGATATGCAAGAGTGTGTCAAAGTTTTAAAATACACCTACAGGTATCTCGAACTAATTTAAATGTATGATATAAAATTCATCTACAGAACCACCCACCAAAACGCCCTGTATAGGTGTTTAATACCACCTAGCATTCAGCATAATTTAAGTAAAGATATTCGTCCGAAATATCAAGGGGGGTATTATTAGTGATCTCTACTCTCTGTAGAACGTGTTACCTCGTCATTCGCTACGATTTCGTATCCTACTTTTATCACCGATTTCAAAAATACGATCCCTGCAGAATTGTTCTCCCACATAGATCGGTCAAATAGGTTTTGGGGTATATGACTGGCTTTAGCTGTAACTATGATTTATGCAGTAACAACCCATCCCAACCCCACAATGACAAATATGACAGATGCTTTAAACCTCCACTTAACCTCAAATAATTCTGATAGTTATTTCAAAAATATCAATAAAGTTCAGGGGGACAATTCATGTAAATATATATCAGCTTGTCATTAAAAATCCTGATTAGAGTGCATTCAACACGCTGACCTTTGCTCCAAAGTTGGTATTGGTCGGTAGTTGATGGTGAGCGAATGATTTTCTGATTATAAATTATTTTTTACATTCACTATCAGCAGCTTTTTGTGAGAGCCAAAAATGAAAAAAACCTCGTTATTTAATTATGAAAGCTTGGTGCACGCCACAGCTGCAGTTGCTGTAAGTATATCAATTATTATAATAATAGGATTTAGGAAAATAGTTTGGTTACTTCAATGAGTTAATAGGTACTTAATTAAATTAAAAATATTGCAGCAGATAAATGATGCATGTATAGTATTTTCAGTCATTACCTCATGAAGTAGTGTAATTTTACGCTGATACCTTATAACTAATTTCATATAACTGGATTTGGCTGCACATGGTGGCTTTTCTTAGCTAAAAAAACATGTGAAGCCTTTGCAGGCCAAACCTTGCATATAATTACTAATAACTCATCATATGTCGCTCAGAGACATAAGCTTCGTTAAACAACAGCAACCCTGTTTTGTCAGTAGATATGGCCAATCATGTAATTTTAGTTCCCATCAAATTAAAATTTCACTCAAGATCAGTTTTTAAATCAGTTTAAGATTTCCAAATTTCTAAGGCTATCTCCTCACAGTATCTGGTCATCCAATGAGGAATAGAGAAGGTTTTGTATTTCAGCCATTAAATGTCTATAGATAGATGCAAGAAAAGTCATATATGTGTGTCAGTACATATGCAGAAACATCGTCAGATTTAGACGCAGGGCATTTTCCAATAAACACACATGTTGCTCTAGTTTTTTGCAAAAGTTATTTTGCTACTGGAGTCATGGATACATGCTCCCCTTCTTATACATATCCCAACCCCACTCTCTACTTGTTGCAATAGAATTAGAAGCCCTGCTTCACAATGACCTACACTGCATCATCAAAGCGCAATACACTAAACACCTTGATACCCAAAATATCGATGAAAATATGAAGAGCAAATATTAAAAAAAAATTATGAGAAACTGGCCAAGTTAGTAGTTGTAGTGGTAAAAAAATTTATTAAGCACATTTGGCTACATAAATGGAATAATTATTAACAACTTGGAATTAGTAAAATACAAGCCATATGATGTGCATGTTGGGCAAGCTATATAGTCCAATTAAATAGCCGAAACTGAGCAACTGTGATAACATAGCCACAAAGTTATTTCCGCTGGTGTAATGGTGTAATAAAGGATTGCAAATATTGTTGTATGAATGTGGTTTTCTGGAAACCAGGCGTTTTTTCTAAAACAGCGAAAAACCCAAAAAACCTGTTTTTCGCTGAAACGACTGAGGATATCTGGGATTTTTTTACACTCAAATTTTTCTAATTTTTGGGCCATCAAAAAACGTCTTTACAAATTTTTTGCTAAAATGGGTAGCTTTCGCGCTACAGCTTGCTGATACAGTGGACCTCCGGTAATCCGACAAACATTATGCAGGGCAGTGTCGGACTATCGAATTTGTCGGCTTATAGAGCACTGCCTAAGACCCCCTATAGTCCTGAATTTTCTACAAAATAATCCGACAAATTACATATCCAATGGTAAGATTACGTATATATGTTATGTATATGTATGTATTTTGAAGTACAAATCATGTATAGTTAATGTATGCTGAATTTAGTAAATTAAATAACAATAGAGAGCTTACGTTTTATTATAAAATTAAACATAAATGCACATACATATGTACCAAAATAATCAAGAATTATCAATCAAAATCATTAATGGATTTATCAAATTATGAAGCTTGGAAATATTCATCAATTTTTTTTGTTTAAGGTTGTTATAACGCGAGATCAGAGCTTTGTCCCTCAGCCTTCTCAAAAGTAAAAGTTCGTTGTAGGATATACCATTCTCTTCAGCCCATTGTAAACTTAGCTCAAAGGCGTTAATTGCGTCTTGTGCTGTGACTTGTGGAGCAGTTGCAATCACGTCGTCGTTATTTTCCTGATTGTTTGTTGTATAATTAAAAACCACTTTTATAATCTCTTCGTCAGACATTTCATGAAAAACATTTTCCTCTTTATCCATTCCACGGCACCAGATTTCCAAATCTTCCGGACTTACCTGTGTTTCACTAGCGACTTGTTCTATAACTTCCGAAGTTACACTGATTTGTGGAACGTTGCTAGGAGTGGTGACAATATCTGGCCATAACTTTTTCCAAGACGATTTAATAGTTGATGACGGTAACGCATTCCACGACTGACAAAGAGCAAAAACCACGTCTTTCATATTAAATTCTTTTAAAGTTCGCAGTGTTGCATTTATCCTCAGTTGTTAGTTCTTCTTCAGACAGATGACCGGGAGCGTTATCAAGAAGCAACAACGCTTTTTGAGGAAAATTATGATCTGTTAACCATTTTCTAACTTCAGGTATGAAGCATTCATCAAACCACTTTTTGAGAAGATCTTTTGTCATACATGCACTTTTTTGTCCGTAAAAGTGTAAATCAATGTTTTTGAATGCCCGTGGTTTATTAGATTTCCCAATGGCCATCATCTTAAGCGCGTGTATGCCCGCAGCGTTAGCACATGGTAGTATGGTTACACGCTCTTTACTTTCGTTACAAGAAACGAAAGTTTTGTTAGGCATCACACGCCAAAAAAGCCCTGATTCGTCTGCATTGTACACCTGTGACGGGTCAAGATTTAAATCGTTCACCTTTTGCAAAAATCTTAATTTAAAGGGCTCTATGCAGGTGGCATCGTTAGAAAGTTTCTCTCCTGTAATAGTCATTAAGCGTATGCCATGACGACTTCTAAAACGTTCTAGCCATCCTTTACTGGCCACAGAATCATTTTTTTTTGTTATTTCCTTACAAAAAAACTTAGCTTTCATGGGCAACATGGGTCCTGAAATTGGTGCATGCCTATTTCTTTCCTGAAGAAACCACATGTAGAAAGCTTCTTCCACTTCTGGATATTCAGCTTTCTTGAGTGTCTGGCCTGCAGTCAGTAGTTGACACGAACTTCTTGATCTTCTCGTGGTTTCTTTTAATGTCATAAATTGTAGATCGGCCTACGCCGTATTCCCTTGCTAAACTACTGAAAGTTTCATTGCGATTTAATTTTTCATTAATTGTCAATGTTTTGAGCTTTTGCTTCTGAGTTTGTGATGACATTTCTAGGTACTATACTTAATACACAATGAATAAATAGTAAACAATGAACTCACGCTAGGCCGTACCGCTATCACAAATACCTAGTCAAATTCAAACTAAGCAAAACAATGCTTACGCGTCGAATACGTTAGCGGTGACGCGTACAAGTTGTAACCTGCTCAAACCTGCGTGATCTACATTAGCGAATATTGTCAAATACGTATGTATGTAATATTCAAAGACATGTCGGATTACAGGGGACGCCGGATTAGATAGGGGCCGTATTATCGGAGGTCCACTGTAGTTTGTTGGCGAGGTAATTGCGGGGGAAAGGGCGCGCGTAACAGCATTCCTGCATACCACCAAACTGCCGCCGCACCGTCCACCAGGGTTGCCCGGTTTTCAGTCACATTGGTCGAAAAGTTTTTATGAGAAAATCGACAGAAATCGCCAATCTTTGAAATAACTAGGAGTCAACTATAAAATGCCAGGTTATCGATTGGGATGAATTTGTGGGAGGGGGGGTGCCTGCCTGTTAACTGAAGAGCGGAGGTGAGGGAGGTTAGGCATAATGATAATATTATATGATAATAAACAATTCCTTAAAAAGGGAGGGGGGGGGGGTAAAAACGTGTAATCTGAGCGAAACTATAAGTTCATTCACATGGGGCGGATCCATTGTGCTTAGCGCACAGAACTTCCGCTGGTCCTCGTTTCATGTTTCATTAATCTATACAGTTATTTTTTACAATGTTATACCTCGATCCATCAAATTGCTATCATATGATGAATTTAAAAGACATATGAAGAAATTTATAATGAATACATAGACGTGGATAAATTAGTTGATAAAATTTATCGGTCCCCTCACACAAAAATATTTCCAATATAGGATTCCTTTGTTTGTATAACTGTTACAATTTTATACTTTTAACTCATGAAGTATTGAATAGCCTTTACTTATACAGGGTGTCCCAGAAGTCGACGTCAAGCCGAAACCGGGTGATAGGCAAAGTCATAACAGCTATCAGAAAAATATTTAAAAAAATTTTATGTATGTGTTTTGAAAATTATAGGTCTTTGAAAAAGATATAGAAATTTCACACCCTACGGCAGTCTGTCAACTCCTGTTACTACAAATATTAACTTTTTTGGATTTTATTTTTACAATGTAATGATGAATAATGCATCTTCAAACTGGTGTCTCAACCTTAGTGCCAACTTTTCTCGTTCAGGAAAAATTGTCACTTATTTCCCAACCAAGTATTCCAAAGTAAAACTTTGCTCAACTTTAACTGGCTGTACTGGAAAAAAAATGTACTACGAGAGTTTGGCAAATAACCTTAAAAGTTGGCGCATTTAATAACGACTCCAAAATGGTATAACACTTAGAAGATTACTCGTTAACTTATGCACAATTTTTATTTGAAAAAAAACTGATGAAAATTTTTCAAAATTTCCTAATTAAACAGCGATTATGAAAACCCACAAGGACCCTTAAGGATAACTGTTTGCACAACAGTGGGCGTCAAAATGCTGCTGATGATGATTTACCTTTACAGCAAATGCTCAAACTGCTTTCCTTCAGCCGCAATACACGCTCGACATCTTCTTAAAAAAGATCGGGTTATTAAACGAGCGAATCCACGGTTATTAACAAACTCAGCTGCTTCCAATAGTCTTTGCCGTAGCTCAGCTACATTTTGAATCGGCTTGAAATACACTTTTTCTTTTAGAGTTCCCCAGTAAAAAAATCTGAAGGATTCAAATCAGGTGATCAGGCTGGCCACGGTATTGTACCAGACCGCCTTATCCATCTGCCTGGAAAGTTTTGATCGAGATACTCTCTCACTGAGAGTGCATAGTGCGCTGGGCAGCCATCATGCTGAAACCACATGTCCCTGTAAATACTCAGCGGCACTTCTACCAATAAATTTTGTACACGATTTTTCAAAAAATCCAAATAAACTTCAGCAGTCAAAGTCTCTGGGAACTCAAACGGACCGATTATTTTACCATTTAAAATTCCTGTCCAATGGTTTATCTTG